TTTACAAAATGAACAACAGTACCTATCAAGAGCTCCCTGTAAAGCCCCAATTCTTGTATGCATCATCTGAAGAACACCTGGGAAAACAAAAGAGCTTGTATTACTTAACAAATTTACAGAGTTCCAATAGCTAAGGGCTCAACAAAGTTTTATTAAAATGTATTTACATATTAACAGCAGAGTATAGTTTTCGCAAGATAAAATATTTACCATCTGACAGGAAAAGTTTGCCCATCCCTGACCTAGCTCCATACAACATATAATAGCTAACATAAAGATACCTTCCAAAGACTCGATCCCAGTTGCTTGTGCCAGTAAATCTTCATGCCTTGCAACAACCTGAAAATCAAGAAGATATAATCACCATTTGCTTCAGCTAAGTATTAGACAATTTGGTGTGTGACCATGAAGTGGAACTGATGGTCTTTTGTCAGGACAGGAAAGGGGCAAAAACTAACACAATAGAGGGCTCTCCCTGGTGGGGCAACAGGTTAAAGCTCCACACTATGAAGCTCTCAGAAGCCATTGCAGCACAAGTTCAATCCCCAGCCAGAGAGCTGATCCACATGGCGTGGCAGACCTCTCCTGACCCGCCTGCTGCTCCTCTCAACAGTGTGTTTCAGTACATCTGCCTGTTCAGTTCCCCACTCTGTCTCCAGTGAATCCTCTCACCTACCACACCTCTGGCCTGTACCCCAGTTCTGTAAGCATAAATCAATAAATCTTACAAAAAAAAAAAAAACTAACACAATAGAAAAAATACAGATTAGGCTGGTGTGCTTGATCTGAATCATTTGCAGAAACAGACATACTTGAAGTTCAATACACAGTAAAAGTAAGAGACTGTCTTTTCACTAATCCTAGCCTATTGCAGCTTTGTCAAAATCAAGAAAAAAAAATAAAAAGTTAATTCTTGCCACATGATTTTATACTTTTCCTTTAAAGAATCTTTCCCAACATCAAGTTTTCTTACTTCTTAAATTCAGCATTATCAAGGCCATATCCTAATCTTGAAAGAAAACATATTATCAGTGCCCATCTGTCTCTGAGCATCTTTCTACACTCTTTCCCACTGTCACATAAATCCTCTCTTCTGCAGAAGATAGTTATGAAAATTAGGCAGTGTATATGGTCACAACCAAAGACCAAAAAGATTAAGAGTGAAAGGCCACATGTAAGAGATTCTTAGAAACATCAAACAAACAAAACATGCAAATCTTAAGAAAAATGCAAGTTATCTTCATATTTTGTATTCTTTTTTCCCCCAGTGTGTAACAAGTGTTATGTTTAGTCTGTAAAGTGAAGTTCTAAATCAACAAGAATTCATTCACTGTACCTCTATATCTACAGTGTCAGATAGCACTGTCATTATATCAAATCCTTTCCTAGCATACCTACCCTAAAATAAATATCACCTTTGCTCTACTACATCTTTTATCCTTATAACTGCCAGAAGTTTGGATTTTCCCCCATCTAATGACGTGCTCATCAATTTTCCTATCCTAACAAGACTAATCTTCTTTTACTTCTCTATTCTTCTTTGTCACTTGTGGAAAATACTTTGAAAAGTTGAAAACCTAAAACTATACTTTCAGATACTCCCATGAAGCCATCTGAATGAATTCTAAGAGATTTGAAAGGATCAACAGAGATGAAAGCTCTCTCTTACTGTTTCAGACCTAAAGCAAAGTCCCAGAATCTAAATATGTAGAGGGAGCTAGCTACATTGAACATACCAGAATTTAGGGTCCAGGTGGCTAAAAGCAGTACTTTGACAGCAGTATGGGAGGTACAGCAGGAGATCTCCGACTTTTGGGTTGCAACTATTGTATAGTTCTTTCAACTCCAGACATCTAGCCAGTGATTTCATAAACATCCAATTCTCTGTATTAAATAATTTGCTTTAAATGCCAAGAGTGATTTCTGTCTGCTGTACTAATTTTCATTTCAATGACATTTTGAATTACTTTTACTATGGATTTGGATAGTATTATACCAGTTTTGCTCCTACAGAAAACCACTTATAGTACCTTCAGCTCATATTAGAACTTAAATGTCCTCAACCTCACATTCAAAATTACTGAAAGTATAACCTGACTCATCAATAGTTAAGTAAATGTTAAGATTTTTTTCTGTTTGCTTATAGCAGTTTTATTTATTACAACCAAAACTTGGACTTTGAAAAATAAGCTAAAGTGGTAAGTTAAATGTTAGTTTTTTAATAGAAAATAGATTTAGGCTGATCTAAATATAGATTTTGGTTAGAGAAGAAGATTGTGAAATGATAAATTACCACTTAGACTGTATAACCTGTATGAACCAGAAAACTGGGATTACCTGTAGGTGTAGTTCTTTATCCAACTGACTGATTCCTTGGGCAAGTTTTGCTAGTTGTTCAGCAATTACAGCTTGATGAATAGATTGGGAAGTATAAGTCTTCACATCAAAGTCTTCATTTAAAAAATCACTATAACAATCTGGAGGAAAAAATATGGAATATAAGATTTTAATTATTTGTTACGATTTTTTATTGTGGTAAAGTGGTTTACAACACTGTATGTGATTCAGTGGCATAAGACCACACCTATTCAGATGTATTTCCACAGTTTCCCCCCCTCTCCAACTTGCGGCCTCAATTCCACAGACTTTTACAGTTATTGGTTTGATTTTATCTGACCCTTTGTGTGACTTCTCTATATTCCAATTTAAGTGAAACCATCTGGTATTTGTCTTTCTCCTTCTGACTTACTTCATTTAGCATTATCCCTTTCAAGTCCACCCATATTGTTGCAAATGGCAAGTTTTTTTTTTTTTACAGTTAAGTAGTATTCTGCTGTGCATGTGTTGCATTTTCCTAATCCACTGATCTGTATAAGACCATAATTATTAATTACATTGGACTCAATTGCAGGTAATAAAATCATTATAATCATAATTAACATATCTGAAGTCTTTTCTATACTAGGAACTATTATCAATGCTTTCTATAATACTGAGGAGGAGGAAGTATAAACTATAAGTATAATATCTGTTGATAGCTTTACATGTGGCAGGCACTGATTTAAGCATTGTACACATATTAACTCATTCAATACTCCCAAAAGCCTAAGGAACAAGCATTTTCTCCATTTCACAGATGATGAGACAGGGCATACAACTTGTCCACTTAGGTGAACCCAGTCTAGTTTCACACTCTGAACCACTATGCTACTCTGATAAGAGCTACACTTTATCATTGAGTCTAGAGGAAAACAATCAGTAAGAGAGCAAAAATTAACACTAATCGTAGTCTTTAACAGAGTGAAAATTAACACTAATTACAGTCTTTAACAAAAAAACAAGGTTAGTTACAAGAAAAAAGGAAAGTTAAATATAGTTGATATTTATGGCCTCAAATATCCCTAGATAAATGTATAAATATTCTGATAAATATCTGAAATTTTTAAAGACATAGGTAAATACAAATTTAGCAGTATTACTGCAACTAAGGTTTATGGGTGAAATAAGTACATATAAAAAGAAACTGTGTTCAAAACAGACCCTTAATAGGTAAAAGGATACAAGATTTTAACAAGAGGTCTGCCTGTGGAGAAGCCCACAAGTGTGCAGGTCAGAGAATTGAAAGTTACAGATAAATAAAAGTGAGCTCAATATAGGTATAAACCACTACCTACTAGCCATCTAGCAGGCATGGACAAGACTGCCCTAATGGAGATTATGAAGCAAAATAACAGTACTTACAAGAAAACTTCTATTTTCTATATCCAATATAATATATGCTCTGTGAGGGTAAGGTCTTGTTTCGTTTAGAGAATCTAAACCATGCTTGACACATGGTAGGTAGGTATATAGATGAACTTATATATGAGCTGGAAGTATCATTCAGTTAAAAGCAAAGAAACTCATATTCTTGACTACTCTCAAAATGTAGTGGAGTAATAGAAGGAAACTGTTACTTCAACCTCAATTCTTAAAAGAACATTTCTTTCCAGAACTCTCCTACACTGCTGGTGGGAATGCAAATTGGTCCAACACTTATGGAAAGATGTGTGGAGGTTCCTCAAACTGCTAAAAATGCAGCTTCCATATGATCCAGCAATTCCACAGCTAGGTATCTACCCAGAGGTCACAAAAACATCAATTCAAAAAGGACACCTGCAGCTCTATATTTATTTCAGCACTATTTACAATAGACAAGCAATGGAAACAACCCAAATGCCCAAAAATAGATTAATGAATCAAGAAGATTTGGTATATTTACACAATGTAATATTACTCAGCAAGCAAAAAAGATAAACTCATGCCATTTGCAGCAACATGGATGGAGCTGGAAGAGAACATGCTCAGTGAATTAAGACAAAGAAAAAATACCAGATCCAAATAAAGGATCAGGAGGAAAAAAATTAATTATAATAAAGTAGAAACTAAAATCACCAGGCAACTATTAACCAGAGACACTCTGCAAGAGGGTGAGGAGGGAGTAGGATCAAAACAGGGATGAGAAGAGCACAAGGGACTATGGTGATGGTGCACGTGTGAACTGGTGGTGGGAATTTGACAGGATCTACACCCAAGACAATAAAGCATACATTGTATAAAAATGTGTATATATATATATAACTATTTTTACATCATTCTTTATGTGTGTATAATATACATACATACATATATATGTATATGTACATATATGTGTATAGATATATAAAGAGAGAGAGAGCGCATTCCTTTCCAGTTTGCCAAGCAGCTCTCGAATTAAGAATCTACTCGGCAAGGGCCCTCCCTGGTTGTGCAGCGGATTAAGGCACAGCACTAAGAAGCTAAAGCCACTTCAATATGAGTTTGATCATACCACCCACCCTGGAGGTGACCCACATGGCCCGGCAGACCTCTCCTGACCCCACCCGCTGCTCCCCTCAGCAGTGTACTTTGACAATCTGTCTGTTCTGCTCTCTACTCTGTCTCTGGTGAACCCTCTCACCGTCCCTGTACCTCTGGCTTGTACCCCAGTTCTGTATGCAAATAAATAAATAAACCTTTAAAAAAAAAAAAAGAGTCTACTAGGCAAAAAAATAGAAAAATAGAAAGGGTCATTTAATGAAATGGGAATGTTTAGAAGCAGCAAATGTCACCACTTATTTTGAGAGAAAAGCATAATGGTAACTTCAGTGCATGTAGATCAAAGTCTCTGTGTGCGTGTGTATATATTGGTCAAAAGGATAAAGAATGTGGAAGCTGAGGTTCCCAAAGAAGTCTGGGGGAGAGGGAGGTACTGGGGGTGCAACTGAAAAAGAAGCTGTAAGACATCCAAAATGTTGAGACTATATCCCATTTAAGACCTTAAGTTAAGAAAGAAAACTGTTGCCTTTGTGTTTTAGAACAAAAGTTTTGGCAACAGTATGAACAATGATTAAAATGAGATTAGTCACATAGTGGTGTGCTGGAGCTATCTCATATTAGCTCCTGAGAGCCAACTGCTAAACTTTCCAGAATTATGCAAGCCAGCAGACATCACCAAGGTGATGACCAAGGTGACAGTATTTACACCATGGAAATAAGCATATGCTACAAAATCAGGGCTTTTCCTCTTTTCCTAGAGAGCCCTAAGAGCATCATGAAGTGACAATTTAACAAATATTTAGATACTATGTGTAAGACAGTTGAAAACGGTGACTAGGAGGAGCAAAAAACTAAAGGATGACTCCATAGTTCTTAATTAATAACTGACTTACACAAATCAGCATTGCACTAAGTTAGACACTGGATGTACTAAGATATATCCCAGTGCCTATCTTTAAAGCTTTAGAAGATTATTTCCTTACGAATGATTATTTAATTGTAAGTGTATATGAAGCTTAAAATTTGATTAAACTGAATTTTAATTGATACAAAAACAAAGACGCTTAAGACAGAGATCCTAACCTCAAAAGCCTATCACATCAAATTCACCCAAGAAAATACTACATATGTATAAAATCAAGAGTCAAGTAACTAAGGGCAATAATAAAATACACAACAATCAGAGAAAACGAAAAGTTTAGAACTTTATTTCATTCAACAATACCCTACTTTGGTCTAAAAATGTGTGCCTATGCTTAATACTATAATATTCAATTAAAAAGTAGGCGCAGAATAATATATTCTTTTGAACATCAGTCATCATAACTAGCGTTAACAAAAATTCTCTACCACTACCTGACAAGTGTGTATTCAAATTCTGTAGTAATCTCCAAATGTCTGACTGCAATCTTTTGTTTTTAACCCGGATAAAAGTGGTTATGCGAAATTTGGGCCATGTTGAATTAATAAAATTACATATAGTCAATCCCAACCTGAACTAATGTTCCGACCCCTCACTCCCCGAACGGTATTTTACACCTTGTGAAACAACAAATGAGCTTGTAAGGGGGACCATCTGTGTAGTTCAAGAATTTGGTAAGAGGGGACGTTCCCATGTGTATGTAATACTAAGCCCCTCTTTTTAGCTTCTATGATCTGTTCTAGGTGGGATCCAACGCTTCATTCCTTCATCAGGAACTGCGGGACCAGCGGGAAGCTGCCAACGTGGGTCACTGGGTGCGGGGTCCCAGGACCTCAGGGAATCCAGGCGCGAGAAGGTAGAGCTGAAATGTGGAGCAGAGATCAGGTGTCCCCAATAACTGAAGGGGACAGCAAGTCCCGGGAGAAACAGGTTGTCCACGTCACCACCCAGACGCAAGGGGGCCGGGCGCAGGGGAGTGGTCAAGTCGAGACCGGAAAACTTTCTGCAAAGCGACGGGTTGAGTCCACCACCCAGGCCCAGGTGCTAAGCAGGACAGCCCCACGGCACCACGATCCGGTCAGACTCCGGCTCCTTACCGTCTTGCAGAAGCTCCCGGACTGTCGCCGCAGCCGTTCCAGAGCCCAAAGCCCGGTGGCCAGCCACAGCAACGCCGCCGTCGCTACCTTCCATGTTGGCAGGTGCCGGGATGATGGCGTCACTGCGGGCCACTCCGCCCAAACGATGACGCAGAATTCCGGCGCCGGCCGATTCGCCCAGCCAGCAGTGCTGCGGGTCTAGTAGATCCGTGCGAGGACCGGAGCTAGGCGGACCCTGACTAGTAGCTGGTTCCGGAGCCGGCAGCCTACGTGACTCCAGCACGCCGGGAGATTCTAGACTTTGGAACCGGCGTTTTCCACGGTCTCCCATCGCGTCTCTGGGACCGGCTTCTACCCGGCGGAAAACGAGGTGGGGGCCGGAATGCGGCCGCAAGCGTCTACCTCTAAAGCAAGTATTTAACCTAAATGGGGCCTTGCGGCGAAGGCTGGACAGAAGAAAGGTTTCTGAGGGTACCACGTGCCTCCCACAAGCACTGCCGGCGAGAGTAAGTATCAGCATCCTCTCTCACCCGCCTTGGTTCCCTATCCTGGAATAGAGGCAGGCGGGAGAGACATGAGAAGGAAAGTTGCTGGGAATGAATAGTGAGGAGCGGTTAAGGAGGGCCGAGGACGTCCATGAAGACGCAAGACTAAACCAAGAAAAGACAAATGTGATCTGCCCATGACTTTAATCTTTTTCTACCTCTACTTCTCATTTTCAGCCATGTGCTATGACAATGATTTTTTTCTTTCTACACATGATGGACTTTTAATAGCGTGGCTAACAACACTGAAGCTGTAGAATTGTCAGCTTAGTTTCCATTATGTCATCTCAGCTGAAGCATGTATTAATCACCTAGATTTCTCGCAAGAACTAATCATCCGCATGTATGCAAGAACATTGAGCATATCTTCATAGCAAGAAACTGTAATGTAACTTCCCATCGTGGACAGTAGTTGTGGACACAGGAACCCAGTTGTTTTCCAATTCCAAACGTATGTGTTTGTCGTGATTCTGCTAACAGTATTTCAAGGTGCTATAATAGTGCTTACCCTGTGCCAAGAGCATTTAATATTCAAAACAACTCAGCTGAACAAATCTGGTGATGTATTTAATTATGCTTTATCCTTTTTCTCAGAAGTTTATCCTTTTTGTAATTTATCTAGATCCTGGTGAAAATGGGACTGATGGTTCTGAACATAGGTCACACAAATTGTCAATAGTAGTATGCTCAGTTTTCATTATCTATTAATACACAAAATGTGCTTTAACAATTCTTGAATGTTAATGATGAATAAGCATTACCTATGAATTACAGATTTTTTTCTTGATTTTTACTGGAAGATTTTAGAAAAGTAGCCTAATTTTGGTTCATTCAATGAAGGGTTTTGAGACCCTGCTATATAAATTCCTGCATATGTATACAAACATTCCTATCCTTTACAAATGGAGCTTATAGACAGTGTGGAAACCCATTAAAATAAATGGTTATGTGATTTTGGAGTACATTTTGGATTTATTTACTCCCCAAGCTTGGAAGCCTTTAAAACTACTTATGCCTGCACTCTACTTCCAGAAATTCACATTTGACTGGTATGAGATATGGTTTGGGCTTCCTGATTCTTAAAAGCACTACAAAATTATTCTAACGTATACAACTGAGGTTGAGAACAACCTTGTGGAAAGGACACTGGCTTTGTGTTGCTATACTTTACTTATGTAGGTTGCTTATATCTAATCATAAATTTCATTTAAGAAAGTCAGACTGATTGGTCAGTAATAAAACTAACTCACTCCAACTGTACAACCTACCTACGGAACTTGAAATGAGTGATTTATATTTCAGTTATACCAGTACTTTCTGGGTTAATCAAATTAAAAACTACACATTGAGCAATAAAAGTTGACCCATGTCTGTTTCCAACTTTCTAAGGACAAAACTTGGAATAGGGAAAGCATTCAACACTATGATATGACAGGCTATTGGGCACAGCAAATACTAAACACTTTTGAACTGTCAAATTTCATCACTTGCATCTCTTTGGGTATAACAGTGATCTACTATAGTATTATAGTTAAATTTTTGCTAGATAATACCTTTTTTTTAATAATAAAGGCTTGTTTGCCTTCTGATAAATAGATACAAAGAATAGGATTTGAACATAAGAGCAAACATTAAACACACTACTATATCTTTTGGAACACTCCTTAAAATTGTTCTTTTAATGATACTTAGTTTTTCTGTATAAAACTAGATATTTCAAAGTGCCATGTATATTATATGTGAAATGTGTCAAATCAAAAATCTTGGCTCATCAAGGCCAAATAAAGTAACATGGTAAAATTAAATAGTAACATGAAAAGTAATAACGTGCTATGCTAGGAAAAAAATTAGTTTTCCAAATTCTTTTTGAGAAAAAACTGTGAATATGGTAAGTGAAGTATAGAATTTAAAATTTAGTGTGTAACAAGTGCCAGATAAAGCCAAATTAACAAAACCCTAGAAATCGGATTATAGAACTAAAGCTACTAGAAGGAAAGGGGAGATGGACAATGAACTTGAGGATAGATTATAGATGCTTTGGTGGTAGGTGTAACTTAGTAACACTCGATGTGGAGATCCTGTATTTTTCTTTAAAGGTATATTTATTTATGCATACAGAACTGGGATACAGGCCAGAGGTGCAGGGGCGGTGAGAGGCTTCACCAGAGACAGAGTGGATGCAGAACAGGCTGACTGACAAGTACACTGCTGAAGGGAGCAGCGGGTGGGTCAGGAGAGGTCTGCCTCACAGGGTACATCACTTTGGGGCTGGGGATCGAACTCATGCTGAGTTGTCTTTAGCTTCTTAGTGCTGCATTTGCCCACTGCGCCACCAGAGAGGGCCCTGGGGGAAATCCTGTATTTTAAAGCAATCAGCATTTAAACCAATTTTACCTCAAAAAAAGCAGTGTGTGACATGAACAAGTGTAATTTATAGTAATAACAGTATTACTAAAAACTGAGTGACTTTATAAATGCAAGCACAATTCTGTGCTATCCTATTTGATACTGTGAAAATAAGCTATAGAACAATCTCTGGACCCATTAGACTCATGAAAATATATGTACTTGGCAAATGAAGTAGTTAGAATGATGGGAATTAATTCAGTGGAAGTACTTCTACTCTATGCAAATTTCTTTTTCAGATTTGAAATACCTTATTCATGAAGAGTGACTGCATACAAGCCATAATGTGTCAAGAAAGAAAAAATGATCCAATAGAAATGCTTCATTCTGGGCAGCTGCTAAAAGTCTGTGCCCCGATGGTTCGATATTCAAAGTAAGTGTTGTTAAATGGTTAATAAGCTAGCATGTGATATCCTTTTTATGCTCTAACTTTAAAATAAGATTCCCCTACTACATGGGCTTTTCAAAGGCTTAGCTTTGGGATCATTCTATAGTCTTAAGTTCTGGAGATTCCATTTGTCAGGTATGCTTTTGTCCCTGAGTAAATAATTAAGCTCTCTAAGTTTCACATTTTAATATCAATAAAAGTGGTAGTGTTTGTAATTCCCACTATAGATTTACTTTTGTATCTTTGTTGAAAATCCACTGGGCGTGTTTGTTTGTAAAACTTGTAGTAAGGCCCTCCCTGGTGGCGCAGCAGGTTAAAGCACTGCACTGAGAAGCTAAAGCCACTTCCACATGAGGTCGATTCCTGCCTGCCCCGGAGGTGACCACATGGCGTGGCAGACCTCTCCTGACCCGCCCACTGCTCCCCTCAGCAATGTAGTTCGTCGATCTGCCTGTTCTGCTCCCCACTATGTCTCTGGCGAAGCCTCTCGCTGCCCCTGAGCCTCTGGCCTGTACCCCAGTTCTGTATGCACAAATAAATAAATCTTTAAAAAAAAAAAAACTTGTAGTAAATACTTAATAATTAACCAAAGTAAGCTTGAAAACACACATGACAATGATGTTTTCTTATGCCTAATTAAAGTTTTATATATTTGCAGGTTAGCTTTCAGAACTTTAGTAAGAAAATACAATTGTGATCTATGCTATACACCAATGATAGTTGCTGCTGATTTTGTCAGATCTGTAAAAGCCAGAGACAGTGAGTTTACCACAAACCAAGGTATGTGAAACCCTTATTGCTAATTCTGTAAAGCTTAAAAGAAAAAATTTATCAAACAATTCAAATTCACAGATTTTATTTTTAAATCCTTTTTTTCTTATGTTTTTAATAGATATTTTTAAGTATTCAGTTCCTTGTACACTCTAGATGGTAACATCAAAGTGTAGTGTTAAGGTCAGCCTTCCTTATGGACCTTATATTCTCAACAGGATAGTTAGATTATATCTCACTACCTCCAGCCTTGTCCCATTCCTAACTATCCTCCAAACAACCCACAATGACTTTTCTAAAATGTAAATTTGATTACATGTCCTTCCTGCTTAAGATCCTTTTTAGACCCATCATTGCTTGAAGCAATGATTTTCAGTGTGATCTCCCCAGAATAGCAGCACCAGCAGATCTGGAAACTAGTTAGAAATGAAAATTCCCAAGTTTATCACAGGCCTACTAAACCAAATTCTAGCTGTGTGGTACAGCAGTCTATATTTTAAAAAACTCTCCTGGTGATTCTGAGTTTACTCAGGATTGAGAACCCACTGGCCTAGAGTAAAATTCCAGCACCTAACATAATAGAGAAGTAGTCAAGCTCTTACATGTGTCTTCTGCAGCTCTGCCTTCCATCATTTTGTTTTCACATCCCCACCACATTTATTCTGCAAAACTACTAAATTATTTTAAGCCCAGAACATACTTGTTCTCTCACACATTTCTACCTAGACTAACCTTTCCAGGCTTGCCTTCTCCCATATTCCTATCTCTTTGGCAAGCAAAAAACAGCTCATACTTAATTTAGCTCTCAATTTGTGCCAAGCAACTTTCCACTTGAACCACTACTAATATTCTCGTTTTAAGAACAAGTGTTTGATGTACTTAATCCTACTGTATTATAATTCTTCTTTAGGTACTCTCTCTACCACTAGACTGGACTCCTTGAAGGCTAGAGCTATTCTTATTGACTTAATCCGCAGCATTTAGTACATTTTTGAAAATGTAATGAGACCAATAAGTGGCTGTTAAATTGAAATTCTACAACTCTCTTGAGTAACAAAGGAAAAGACCCATATCCCTAAGAAAAAACAAATTTTTCTATTCCATGGCAATCCTATAAATCTATGAATTATCATAGAAATTTGGATCAATGGAAGTAGGTGATGCCAGAAATCTGCATTTTGACAAATTACCATTGAGTCTTATATAAGTAGTCCTCAAAAAAACTTAGGAGAAAAATTGAAGTATATCTGTCTAAAATTTATAACAGGTATCAATTTATAAAGAAAAAATTATCCTTTAAAAACTATGAAAGCTTTGATATATTTTACCATATTAAAACTTTTTTTTTTAAAGATTTATTTATTTGTTCATACAGAACTGGGGTACAGGCCAGAGGCTCAGGGGCGGCGAGAAGCCTCACCAGAGACAGAGTGGGGAGCAGAACAGGAAAATCCACGAAGTACACTGCTGAGGGGAGCAGCGGGCAGGTCAGGAGAGGTCTGCCACGCCATGTGGTCGCCTCCGGGGCAGGCGGGAATCGAACTCATGCGGAAGTTGCCCCAGCCTCTCAGTGCAATGCTCCAACCCGCTGTGCCACTAGGGAGGTCCCCGTATTAAAACTTTTATCTAAGAACACAAATATATTCAAAGATTAACCAAAAGCTGACAAAAATACTTAACTATAATTTTATATGACAGCAGCACTAACGTCTTTATTTAAAAAATAATTTTTTAAGATTGATTTATTTATGTATACAGAACTAGAGTAACAGGCCAGAGGTACAGGGGCGGTAAGAGACTTAACCAGAGATAGAGTGGGGAGCAGAACTGGCAGGTCAAGGAAGCACACTGCTAAGGGGAGCAGTGGGCGGGTCAGGAGAGGTCTGCTGTGCCATGTGGTCACCTCCGGGGCAGGCGGGGATCGAACTCATGCGGAAGTGGCTTTAGCTTCTTAGTGCTGTGCTTTAACCCGCTGCGCCACCAGGGAGGGCCTATTTAAAATTTTAATAATAAAAAAGGAACAACTGGGCTCTCCCTGGTGCTGCAATAGGTTAAAGCACAGTACTATGGAGCTATTACAGCCACTGCAGCATGAGTTCGATTCCCAGGATTGGGGGGACCCACCTAGTGTGGCAGACCTCTCCTGACCCGCCCATTGCTCCCCTGTTCTGCTACCCACTCTGTCTCTGGTGAATCCTCTCACCCCCCACACCTCTGGCCTGTACCCTAGTGCTGTATGTATATATAAATAAGTCTTTAAAAGAAAGAACTGAAAGAAAAATTGCACATACATGGCTATGTGAAAAATGTGGAGAGAGTGCCCACAAAAATATACACTGCTGGTATGTAATGTAGGATAAGTTATAAGGAAACATCTGTACCTATATTGGTAAACTCTTTGAAAGAAATGTTCTTACCATCTATCAAGATGTTTGATACATATTCAGTAGTTACATTACTAGGAATTTACCCTGTGAATATATTCAAAAAAGCATGTATGTAAAAGTATCATTGTAGCATTGTTTGTGAGACCCATAAATAAAATATAACCTAGAAATATGCTTTATAAAGAAAAATAGATCTGAGTACAGCTCAAATATATTTGAGGGGAAAAAAACACAGTAGGCCTCGTAATAATTATAGAATATGCACACTGCCTAAATTTTACAGATATAAAATTGTTCTGGAATACAATAAGTCAATTCTAACCTTTGGTAAAGGGGTCTGATTGTCAACGTGTTGTGCTTTACATTAAAATTCGAACATTATATTGTTTAAATTTGTACTGAATGTAAATTGCTTTCAATTTAAAATATTCAAAATTATTTTAATGCTGTCTTGTTTGAATAGATGCTTCCTTGACTAAAAATAGTATTTTTGTCCTGTATTATTAATGTGTGCATTTCTGTTAATTTTAATGTTGAGCTATTCATTTTATCAGGTGATTGCCCATTGATTGTTCAGTTTGCTGCTAATGATGCAAGACTGTTATCTGATGCTGCTCAAATAGTCTGTCCTTATGCAAGTGGAATAGACATTAACTGTGGTTGCCCTCAGAGGTAAAGCTCAAAGAAGTTGGAAGAATTTTCAAAAAGAGTAGGAAAAAATTATGTAAAAATGGTAAACTATCTTTCTAGTTTTCCAAAAATTAAAAAGTAAGGAAAATAAAGGTAAAACACCTGGGGTCTAAGTAGAAAACAAGAAAAAACAAGGAGACAATAATGCAAAGATGGTTAAGAAAGTGTACGTGACAGGTATTTTATCTAACCTCACTAGAATTTTTTTTTTACTGTATGAATCTGCCTGGAGCCTCAACCATTATTATGTGGGCTATTAATGTTTATAGCAATTCCTAAAATGTATCTTTACTACCATGTCAGTCATACTTGCCATATGATTGTGGAAGATTGATACTTGTTTTCTCCTAATTAATTTCCTCTATAAGACTACCTTATTATAACTACTTTTATTTCTATGTCACGGTTATTTGGTTGATTCTAAGTAACATGGTGTTGATGGAATATAGTAAAGTTTAAAATGATATCCTTAGCTTTTTGGCACTGAATTAGATTATATGTCAAGTAGGAGAGTTAAATATGCTATTTTATAACTAGAATGTTATAAGCTAAAGAATCTTTATTATTAAAACTAGTAAAACCTCTTATTATTTACAGTAAACATCAAATTTGAAATTAGAATGTCTGAAGTAAATGCAGATAATTACAAGTTTTAGCTGGAAGAATTTTAACAAATCTTTTCACTAACTTTTGGGGATATGTTTTCCTAATATCATGTTGATAAATTTAGAAATATTGAATCTGATTCCAATCTATATCTCTAGACATATAGATAAATATATTTTCAGCTTTTAAAAATTATATCTTCTCTTTCAGCTATTTACATTTTATTTTTTGTTCTGTTTCTTTATAAGATGGGCAATGTCAGAAGGTTACGGAGCTTGTTTAATAAATAAGCCAGAGCTTGTTCAAGATATGGTGAAACAAATAAGAAATCAAGTGGAAAAACCCAGATTTTCAGTGTCTATTAAGATAAGGTACAGACAATATTTCAGTTTATTGATAAGTTAATTCATTGCTTAGGAAATAAAATAATATTCCCTTTTTCTGTGCTTAAAAAATTAATAGCTGGTACATTGATGTTGAGACAAGATCTTTTAATACGTGAATAATCATAACTTATGATCCAGAGCAACTTCCTTCTATTTTTCAATAAAAATGAAAACATTCAAATATTCATTAAAAATTTCCCCCAGGGCCCTCCCTGGTGGCGCAGCTGGTTAAAGCACTGCACTAAAGCACTGCACTAAGAAGCTTAAGCCACTTCCATATGAGTTCAATACCCGCCTGCCCCGGAGGAGATCCACTTGGGGCGGCAAACCTCTCCTGACCCGCCCGCTGCTCCCCTCAGCAGTGTACTTCCTCTATCTGCCTGTTCTGTTCCCCACTCTGTCCCTAATGAATCCTCTCACCCTCCGCATCTCTGGCCTGTACCCCAGTTCTGTACGAATAAATAAATCTTTAAAAAAAAATTACCCCAAAGAAATTTTTTCACTTTTTCTATCTAACACACACTAAGAAATATTCATTATATTGAAAGTAGAGGATAGAAATGGTACTGACACTGAAATTTAATAATGAAAAAAAAATTAACCACATATCTGTTTTGGTGGTAGATTAGAAACATTTTATAATAACAAACTATATTCTCCCACTTGTGGATTGGGGTGTGCAGATACTAAAATAGTTGGGTTTTTTTTTTTTAAGATTTATTTATTTATACAAACAAGAACTGGGTACAGGCCAGAGGATTCACCAGATACAGAGTGGGGAGCAGAACAGGCAGATCTACTAAAATAACAGTGCTGAGGGGAGCAGCAAGTGAGACAGGGCAGGTCTGTTGCTCCATGTGGGTTACCTCCCTCACTGGCTGGGGACCCAACTCATGGGGCAGGGGCTGAGGATAGTGACTTAACTCCTTGCAGCACCAGGGAAGACCTAAGATCTTTAATTCATCTATAATAATACTTTGATCACTTTTTTAGTTAGCCAAAGAGAAAAAAACACACTAATTAAATTAAAACTTATTTATTGCTAGAAGTGAAATGTCTAAAGGACTTACATATGAACTAATCATGCCCTTCCTAGTGGTGCAACAGGTTAAAGCCTAGTACTATGAAGCTATCCATTGTAGCCATCTGTTTGATATCTGGCCAGGGAGGTGACCCACAATGATGTGGCAGATCTCTCCTGTTTCACCACTGCTCCAACTGCTCCCCTCAGCAGTGTATTTCACTCAGTCTGCCTGTTCACCTCCCACTCTGTGTCTGGTGAATCCTCTTACCCTCCTGCACCTCTGGCCTGTACCCCAGTTTTTATATGCATAAATAAATAAAACTTAAAAAAATAAATATATAAAAACTAATCCCTGACCAGCACTTTATTGATAGTGCCATTAACTCCTAGTAAAACAAACTTAAATAAAATATTGTTTTCAGTTTAGTAATTTTAGCATTGAGTTATGTGTTGATATTACTTTGATTTTTATCTATAGATAATTTGATTTTATACATGGATATAATTTTGAAACTATAGGATCCATGATGACCTTACAAAAACTGTAGATCTTTGCCGAAAGGCTGAAGCAACAGGCGTTTCCTGGATCACAGTCCATGGAAGAACTGTTGAAGAAAGACATCAGCCAGTTCACTATGAGGCCATTAAAATAATCAAGGAAAATATGTCTATACCTGTAATTGCTAACGGGGACATCAGAAGCTTAAAAGAAGCAGAAAATGTGTGGCATGTTACTGGAACAGATGGTAAGAAATAAATACTTGAGGTTTTTTTACTTAAGCAAAATAGTGTGGGACACAATGTGATTTTTCATTATTTTTCTTTAAAATGAAACCACATTCCCTTATACTGATTCAAGCTAAGCAATTTGTTAAAATGGTATAACTCTTATACTTCTATGAAATAATATTATTTTCATTAGGCTAAATAGTCGCTATCTGCTACCATCATATCCAGTGAGTGACCAGTTAAGAATCTTCCAGATAGCCAGTTAGTAAAATAAAGCACCTAGAAGAGAAATTAAAGTTACTGAACACAGAGAGGTCATAGGAGAAAAAGGAACTCAGAATGCTGTGCACTTTTCATTATTCTTATAAATTATTGGCATACCAAACCCTATGATAGCTGTTGGTCGATGACTCTGTGTTGCTATTGATAATGAAAGAATGTAGGTAAATTTAACTTTAAGTGAACTCAATATATGACAATCTGAAATTATCCTTCCTTGATGTCTTAATTGAATTTTATCTCACAACCATGACTTTTTGTTAATTTTTTTTTTTGAGGTAGCAACCTTGAGTTCTTAATGTATAGACAAATGTGATGTGCTTTAATTTGTAGGTGTGATGGCTGCAAGAGGACTTTTAGCAAACCCTGCCATGTTTGCTGGATATGAGGAAACCCCACTGTCATGTATCTGGGACTGGGTTGACATTGCTCTTGAACTTGGAACTCCTTTTATGTGTTTTCATCAACATTTAATGTACATGATGGAAAAGATAACTTCAAGACAAGAAAAAAGAGTATTTAATGCTTTGTCAAGCACATCAGCAGTCTTAGATTACCTTACAGAGCATTATGGGATTTGATGCAACTGTCTAAAATCATTTACTAATTTAATAATTTTATACTTTCAGTGAAAGCACCAGCTCACATTTTGGGTTTTGCTTTTTAATGACTGGCTCTCAAATTTTAGTGTTAAAAGCAACACTTTGGGAGCATTTTAAAAATCACTATTCCCCACCTTCAGAGATTCTGTTTCAGTAGGGTGGCTCCAAAATTTACAATGTTAAAGAAAATCCCAGGTAACTTAAACATTCTAGTCATTTTAAGTCCAAACAAGCATTGCTTTGACTGCTATTATGGGTGTTTGTGTTTTTTTCTGAAAGGAATCATGTTTTTAACAAATAAAACTTGATTTTAATGCTAAAAGTATGGTTCATATAGTACCAGTAAGTTAACATGAAGTTTGTTCTCATTGAAAATAAATCAAATGGCAAAACAAATGTCAACACATATGAAATAAAAAGGAATAAATTTTTATAGGATTGCATTTATAGCTTAGATTAAAAATGCAAATTGGAAAATCCAACTGTTACTTCCTAATTGAATTACACACTGACTTTAACTAGACATGTTTTTCATAAAATTAAGATTCCATGTAACTTTTTTTTAAAGGTTGATTTATTTATGCATACAAGAACATGGGTGTAGACCAGAGGGAGTAAGAGGATTCACCTGAGACTCAGTGGGGAAACAGAACAGGCAGATATATTGAAATACACTGCTGAGGGGAGCAGCTAGTGAGACAGGAGTGAACTGCACCATGTGGGTTACCTCCCTGGCCAGGAATATTACTCACACAGCAGTGGGTGGCTGGTGCACTGTCTTTAACCCCTGAGCCACCAGGGAGGCCCTCCATGTGACTCTTTATAAACAACGTTAAATTTACATTTAGAATCCATAGAAGATTGAAAGTTTGGTAAATCTATCTGTACTTAAAATGATTAAAATTAATTTCATCCGTTGCATCTCAAATATAAAAATCTTGGTAACTGATCTGGAAAAAAAAAAACCTATATATTTAAAATATTGTTTTTGAAGAATAGTACCTGGGACTTATTTTAAACACCCAATTTTCATACTTGTTTTTAAGTTATGTATTTTATACTACCCCATAATTGATAATAATTGTAATTTTAAAATTCCTTAATGTATGTTACTAATAGAATTTTGCAAGTGGTAAAGGTGCCACCTCTTTTATTCGAGTATTTTACACGCCGTATGAAAACCCGAAAAACAGCAATTTACAAAAATGCCTATACTTGTATTACTTTCCTTTACTAACGATACCCAAAAATTACCCTAAAGTTTATTGCCTTTTCCCACTCCATGGTCAAAAGCAAAATTTACAGAGAACGTTTGACTTTACAGACCTGCATTCTCACAACAAAATGCTCACAACCACCCTCCCATCCCAGGCCTTCCATATAAGTACTTGTAATCGCAGACTATGAAATTTAACTACCCACTAAGAGAAGTAACCGAAAAGGGGTGCGTTTTAAATACGATCGCTGAGTTTGCACCATATTTCCTCCTCTCTACACCAAAAGAAAAGCCGGTGAAGCTCTTTTAACAAACATTAGATATACCTCAGTTCTTGTATGCATAACAAATACTTAAACAAATACTTAAAATAAAACATCGGATAATACCACTCAAATCACACTTCAGTAGAAATGTAAGGTTTGGCTCTGCAGGAAGAAGCCCCAAGCATCAGGGTCCAAAAGTCTGAGTCATCCTCTTAACTCCATCACCAATTAGGAAACAATTATAGCTAATCATCGTCTTCTTGCCTCCAAAGACCTCAGCCTAGACGCGCCTCCTCGCCCCCAAGTTTAGGGGAGGGAGCTGGCCAGAGGAAGGGGTGGGGCACCTCCCCGCGAGCCCCGCTTCCGTCCTCCCCCTTTCCCCCCCCCGCCGCGGCGTCTGACGTCCCGCGCGTCGGCGGCCTCGGAGCAGCGCGGGGAGCGAGGCCGGCGGCAGGCGGGGTAAGGCCGCGCTAGAGCGCGGGGCCGCGGTCCCGGATGCGGCGTGGCGGGCCGAGTCGCCCGCTCTCTGCGCGGTGAACTTCGGAGAGGCGGCGCTGCCCTATCGTCGGTTGAGGGCCGCGGCGCGTTCCCTGAGCGGGAGGGCCCGGGTCCCGGCGTTGGTGAGGGTGGCGTTAGCTGCGGCCGCCGCGGGAGCGGGACGAGAGGCGCGTCCCCGGCGCCGCGCAGGCCACCCCGCAAGTTGGCTCGGCCGGCGGGGAAGGGGGGGGCGGCGGCCCCCCCCCCCCCCCCTGCCACTACTTCCCCTCCCCACCCGGGCGCCTCGAAGGGACCGGTGGACCGGGAGAGGCCCGCAGGCCAAAACCTTGCGCCCCTGGGGTCTTTAACCTGGTTTTCTTTGAAAAGCAACAGAGTAAATTAAGTGTTTCTTTGTTCAGGTGTGAAGAGAAAAAAAATGACACTCCAGTGGTCGGCAGTTGCAACCTTTCTCTATGCCGAAATAGGACTTATTTTAATCTTCTGTCTACCTTTTATTCCTCCTCAGAGGTAGGAAATATCCAAGTCATCATAATATTAACGAGGATTAATCTCTTTCTGCTGTTTAGTGTGATATTGGGGGGGGGGAGTTTCCTTACGATTAAAAGTTATGAGTGCCAGTTATGTTAAAAGGTGCTCTTTAACAAGAAATAATGACAAGATTCTCATATTGTGTACATAAGACTTTGCTTCACATGTGAACGTGGAATAAATGTCCCCCTCCCTCCTCCTCAAAGGAAAAAGGCCTAGTTCTCTTGGTTTGGTTCTGTTTGATTTCTGGTTACAGACGCCTATAACAAAGCAGTGTTTACACTTTATTACCTGTCTTGTCATCAGGGTTTACCTTTGTTTTAGTGACCTGAATTGGAACAGTGAACCGAAGGAATAAATTAGTTTTACAGTTTAGAGAAACGTTTGGGGCAATGAATTGACAATTTGGAAATGTAAGCCCATAAATGTTTCTTTCTTTGGGACTTAGGTAAGCAACAGTTTCATTCATGTTCTGTGGCAACTTTACTACATTCCCACACACACACACAAAATTAATGAATATGTTAAAATTGTTGAACATGTAAAAGTATCAAAGCTGTGGATTAACATTAGTTCTTTAGTGTCCTTTAATTAAGTACTAAGTATCTTAAAGTATTGGCTCATTTGATTTCCGTGATCACTTTCAGGTTTAGTTTTAGATACAGAATATTGATAGTTATGATGTTGAAATATACTTACAATGAAAATGTTGTAAGGCATTTGTTCTTACCTTTGACATAAAAGAAAATCTTTCAAAAAAAAAAATCTAACTCTGAAGTTTAGTAAGATCCCAGCTCTAGAGGAGACAAAGTTTCCACGTTGTCTCAGCGTAGGTATGATCTTTCATAACTCTCAACTTTCTTCTTGTCTCCCTGGGTTTCTTCTCATACTTTTGGCCTTGTATAGTAGCTATACTTCACTTTTTTCTTCCTTATACTAAAGAAAATGATTTAATCATACTGCCGGAAAAGAACTTAGGGATAATTTTTTCAACCTACTCATTCTGTATAGATCACATACTGAGACCCGAAAAGGAATGTGGCCTGCTGTAGTCATCCTCATGGCCCATGGCAGATTCCATGACTAGAACTTCAGCTGAGGGCTTTTTGTGATGCAATCAACCTGGGAGAAAAGATAACCTGTTAATTTTGCTTCAAATCCTCAGTTATACCTTATATTGCATTTTGATAATACTTGGAATAATAGAACGCCGTAGCCAGGGGGGAAAGTGTTATTTATAAGCATCTGATTCATAAATAATGCTTAATAGTATATAAAAAGAGTATTTAGAACAGTTGATCTTTTCTCCATAATTTAAATAATTTCCATACTTAATTTAATTTTGTTTCTTAAATTGTGGATCTTTTTCTTCCTGCCAAATATTTTCCCTATCCCAGTCAGATGTGTGTATATATATATATATATATATATATACATAAGAAAATATGCTATAGATTCACACCAATTATTTATAACATGTTCCACTTTTTATAACCACCTCTTTTAATCTTATATATTATCTTGTAATCTTCAAAGAAAAAGTTTCAGTCTTCATTTAATTTGACTCTCTGTTATTTCATAACTCACTGGTTAAAGACACTTCCTCAGAAGTCACGCTGCTTGGTTTATAGTCCCAGCTCTGCATGTTACTGTGTGAAATTGTACAGCTTATTTACCATTTCTGGCCAGTTTCCCCATCTGTAAAATGGAGGTAATTCTGGTTTCCACCTCATATAATGGTTGTGGTGGCTAAATGAGTTAAAATATATAAAGATACTTAGAATTACAATATAGAAAGAACTCACAATGTATCAGCTATCATTAGTTCCTCTTTATAGTAAGTCTTACAACTGCCAGTTATTACCTGTAAGAATCTTTTTTGTGTTCCCTTTTATACTGGCCTTTGAAGACATATGAACTTACATTTGTCCCTAGATCAAGGTATTGACACTTAACTTTCTTAAAAGAAAAAAAAAACATATCTCAGTAGTATACCTGGAATTGGAAGCATGGATACATACACAGAAAAAAAAAAAAACTGCTTCATCTATATTATATCAGTTTCTTTCTCCCCACCAATTTCAAGTTGATATTTAAAGTTGCTTTTAAATAGTAATTTGTCATAATCTTAAACTATAACTTTTTTAAAGTTGTTAGTGCTGGCCCTCCCTGGTGGCGCAACAGGTTAGGACACAGCACTGTAAGCTGGCTGCAGATGCTTCAGTGCAAGTTCCATCCCCAGGCCTGGAGGTGACCCACATGGGCAGCAGACCTCTCCTGACCTGCCCACTGCTCCCCTCAGCAGTGTACTTTGTTGATCTGCCTGTTCTGCTCCCCACTCTGTCTCTGGTGAAGTTTTCATAGCCCCTCCTCTGACTTGTACCCCAGTTCTGTATGAATAAATAAATAAATCTTAAAAAAATAAAGTTGTTAGTGCTTATTTTTAAGTGTTTATTGCCTTTGCATGTCTCCTTTCAATCCAGTAATGTGGTAATCACTGAAAAGGCCCTTGTATCAAGTTTATTGTCTTTGTATGATGGATTATTTTATCACTCTGCCATTTACAATACTTTTTTTAAACCTATATCTTGCGTATATTCTTCAGTCCATCTAGACTATTTCCCATTTCATTTCCCCATCTTAAACTCTTGATGTGGGTGGTAATTACATGGGCATATATGTATGTAAAAATTCATTAAGTTATATATATGTAATTCTTTCGTTTAACTAAGTATATGAAATATCTCAATGATTTTTCTCACTCCCTCTTGTGAAAGTACAGAAACTACTTGGACTAGATGTTAAAAGTTACTATATAAAAATAGTCTAGAGATTTGTACCCTTTACTCCTGAAATGTTCTTATTT